TCCCAGGGATAAAAAAGTCAATCTAAGTATGAAGATGTTAAGTAACTGTCATATAAATTAGTGGTTTTAATTTACCCACTGCAATTAGGTTGTTCAAACAAGTTTTGTTGCTATATTTAACAAATTAAGTGAAAATAGAATGCAGTCAGACTTGTTTCAGTTAACCGTTAAATAAACAGATTTTAACAAAGAGTTGAAGAGATTTTATAGCTTCATTTTTCCACTGTTTCACTGTTGACTCGGCCAGTGTTTTGTTTTATTTTGTTTTGTTTTTCTTGGGGGGACCGGTTTTATTTATTCTGCTTTAACTCGTTCCGTGTCTTCGTTCCATTTGCAACAATATCCTTGTGTGAATCTAGAATCATTTTTTCTTCGTCAATCAAACCAAAAATCTAAGAATCGTGTCAATCCACAGGCACAACTGCTGATACGGAACCAGCAAGAAGGTTCCATGTTTTGACAAAATCATGAACAAAAAGCAGAAGCAAAAAAGTCACTGCAATTTTATGTTTGCATTTGTGATTCACTTTACTGTTTAAAATTCACTTTACTGTTTAAAATTCACTTTACTGTTTAAAATTCACTTTACTGTTTAAAATTCACTTTACTGTTTAAAATTCACAATGAACTTTAATCGTTCAATTTATCTTTCATTGTTCGTTTATCAATTGATCAGTTCAATTTTGGAGGCGATAGATACTAATTTGATAAGTCCGTTACTAATTTGTTAAATCCATTACTAATTTGATAAGTCCATTACTCGCATAATGTTGGTAGTTCAAAAATTCTTCATCTTCAAATGTGATCTTAATTTTTGCGATGTTAATTTTTCTATTTTCTTTGCTATTTAAAATAATATAAAGAAATTTGCCTGTTCATTTTTATAACTTGTGCAAAGGTATGATACAATTACTTGTAAAATCCTATTGTGACACTACAGTTATGACTGGGACACAAACATAGAAGAGAATGGTAAATGATTTTATCTGTCTTAAGTGTTTTTTTTTTCTGTTTTTTTTTTTTTTTTTTGACCAGCAGTAAAGTCTATGAAGTAGGATCTTCAAAGTAGCCACCCACTTGACCAAATAAAATAGTATTGGTGAAATCGTATAACAAAATAAAAAAAAGTTTATTTGCCACGCGTTTCGTCCTTCAGGACTTCAGCGACTAAATTACTTATGTTGGAAGGACTACACATGCGCACGACTGACGGATGCTGGAAATTTTAGAATTTTTTATTTTATCTAACCGAATTCATTTAGAGTCTTTTTTTCCGTCACTTTTCTAAGTAGCTATTCCACACTGTGATATTAGAAGATCTGCCAGTAAATGATAAAATGTTGTAAGAGCCAGGGAGCAATTTTACTGTAGATGGCCTTGCGATTAAAAAATAAAGAAAAGAAAAAGAAAAAAGAAAATAGATAAAGAAAACATTTATGATCATGTGGTACGTATTAAGAAGTTAGAAATTTCCGTTCGCAGAAACATCAATGTGACATTTTAATATCAAGCCATTTTTTATGAAAGAAATAATAATGTTGATTTTTATTTCCCGTAATGTTCACCCTGCACAAGGCCCAAGAGTCACTCGGGGGTTACAGAGTTAGAGGTAGGGGGCACAATTTATGAGGTCATGTGTGGAAAATATCGATTAACCTTATGCTTGAACAGGTTAAAAGTGATCAGAGAAGCATACACTTAACGGCTTGTGGAAAGAAGAGTTCGAGTGGAACTTACATCTTCTTTCTTTCTTTTTATGTGTCATATCCTTTCAGGGCGTAGGTGATCATGCCTCTCCACCTCCCTCTAAACCTTACAGCTCTCAACAAGTTCCTAAATTCTGCTTCCTCCCCCAGACCACGTTATATCATCCATTTGCTTAAGTCCGCCAGGTATGTCACCCGTTGTTTTCCCTTGTCTCAATTCCTTCTATTCGACCGATGTGTATCAGATTGTCCAGGCACCCCCTTCTTTATTATGTGTCGCAGAAACTTCTGCTGCATCTTCCTGATATTAAGTAGAAGCCTCCTCCTTGTTTCCTTCCTAAGATTTAATTGTTGCTCACACGCTCGGTCCATGATATCTTTAGTATCCTTCTATGGAACGATATCTCTGTTGCCTCGAGTCTCTTCTTCATATTTGAGGAAATCGTCCAAAATTAGCTGACGTAAAGAATAACAGATGTCACGTGACAGCTAATTATTCTTTCTTTCTTTTTTTTTTTTTTTTTTTGTTACTACAAAAGTCCTCCTGTCTCGCAGTACTCTGTCCAGCTTTAGGAATGCGTCCTTAGCCATCCTAAAACGCCTACAGATCTCAGGATCGCATATACCGTCCTCTCTAAAAGACACTTCACAGGTATTCAAACTTTCTCGGCTGCATAATTCTACTGTGCCCGACTTTCAAATCGCATTTCAGGCTCATTCTCTTACTAACTTATATCTAACTAATAGAATGGAACGGAATGATGGTAGTTAGCTACAGTACTCTGCCGAGCTTTTCGAATGCGTATTGGCCATGCCAATATGCCTACAGATCTCAGTGTCGCACTTAATGTCCGCTATCAAGAAGCTTAACAAGTATTGAAAATTCCGCGTCTACTTTCTTCGAGTGTTCCTGACTTCCAAATCGCATTTCAGGATCATTCACTTACTATATAACACCTAACTTATGGAATACGAACGAAATTAGGGTGGTTACCTACAGTACTCTGCCCAGCTTTTGGAATGCGTCCTTGGCCTTTCAGTGTCTCACTTACCATCCTCTCTCAAGACGCTTCCAAGGTACTTAAACTTCTACGTCTGGGGATTCTAGTGATCACGACTTTCAAATCGGATTTCAGGATCATTCTCTTACTAACTTCCATCTAACTAATGGAATGCTAACGGAGTGAGGGTGGTTAGCTGCAGTAATTACTGCTGCTGTTGCAATGCAAACTTGGCCAGCCCAATATGCGTCCTTGGCCATCCCAATAAGCCGTCGGGTCTTAGTGTCGCACTTGCCGTCCTCTCTCAAGACGCTTCCCATGTAGTTAAACATCCGCGTCTGACTGATTCTAGTCTTCCCGACCTTCAAATCACATTTCAGGGTGATTCTCTTACTAACTTCCATCTAACTATTGGAACAAGAACGGAATAAGGGTGGTTAGCAACAGTACTCTCTGCAACTATTACAATGCAAACTTGGCCATCCCTATATGCCTACAGATTTCAGTGTCACACTTACCATCGTCTCACAAGAGGCTTCCCAGGTATTTGAACTTCCGCCCGACCATCAAATCGCATTTCAGGATCATTCTCTTACTAACTTACATATAACTAATGGAATACCAACGAAATGATGGTGGTTAACTAAAGTACTCTGCGAAGCTTTTGGAATGCGTCCTTTGCAATCCCGATACACCTCCGGATCTCTGTGTCACACTTAGAGTCCTCTCTCGAGACGCTTCCCTGGTATTTAAACTTCCGCCTCTGCTTGATTCTACTGTTCCCGACCTTCACATTGCATTTCAGTTTAAGTCTCTTACTAAGCTACAGTAATCTGCGCAGCTTTTGCAATGCAAATTGGCCATCCCAATATTCCTACAGATTTCAGTGTCGCACTTACCATCGTCTCACAAGAGGCTTCCCAGGTATTTGAACCTCGGCGTATACTTCATTCTACTGTTCCCGGCCTTCAAATCACATTTCAAGTTCATTCTCTTACTCACTTACATCTCACTAATAGAATACGAACGTAATGAGTGTGTTTAGCTACATTATTCTTCCCAGCTTTTCGAATGCGTCCTTCGCCTTTCTAATACCCCTACAGATCTCCGTGTCGCTCTTACCGTACTCTCTCAAGACGCCTCTGCTTGATTCTACTGTTCCCGGCCTTCAAATAGCATTTCAGGCTCATTCTCTTACTAACTTACATCTAACTAATGGAATACCAACGAAATGAGGGTGGTTAGCTACAGTACTCTGCCCAACTTTTGGAATGCGTCCATAGCCATTCCAATACGCCTATAGATCTCACAGTTGCACTTACCGTCCTCTCTCAAGACGCGTCCCAGGTATTTAAACTACTTTAAACAAATCACATTCCATTCTCTTACTAACTTACATCTAACTAATGGAATACAAACGGAATGAGGCTGGTCAGCTACAATTAGTATGATATGATTGATCCTTGCCGTGTATTTTAGTCCGTCTGAATACTTTTCATGGAAATAGCTATAGATTGGCGACGTTTTGTCTGTGGGAATTCGTTTGTAATTTGGAAGATAATTCATCACCCACAAGGCTTCGGAGACTCATTTGGACTCTTTTGCGACTGGATGATTTTTTTTGAAGAATTTAAAAATAAAATACGCTGAAATTTTATGTTAAGAAACGATTTACAGAAAACTTTTGATTTAAGAAACTTATAAAAAGGTTTATATATGTATGTATATATGTAAATTGCAACCATTTGTGTGGCTCTAAATTTACTATTTGGAGTCTTGCGGAATGTGGAGTTACCCCTTAAATGGAATTATTCCCAGTTCCACTCTAGTCCGTAGTGGTAGTACCTGTCATGCTCCCATCTATGTGTGTGTGTGTGTGTGTGTGTGTGTGTGTGTGTGTGTGTGTGTGTGTGTGTGTGTGTGCAGATGTGTGTGTGTGCAGATGTGTGTGTGTGCAGATGTGTGCACGTGTCGAACTGCTGTGTATATATGTACCGTGGATATGGAATATCTTCATATATATATGTTTATATAATTATATGTGTTTATGTGTACATATGTATATGGGTAGATGGGGCTCTTCAGTCATGTTTATGTCAACCCATCTAAGAGAAGGAAATTCAGATGACAAACCTGCGACTGAAATGATTACTGGTCATCTTGCCTTTGCTTGTCACCAGGTTATAATCGTAGAGGCTTAGAGAGTGGCACTCATGTTGTACAAACGTTTGCCGCTATAAGTGACAGATGTACAGATGCCTCTTTGCGACATCTCTCATTATATACGTACACCTCAACCAAAAGACCATGATTTCGAGAAAGGTGCGAGGCTGGCAACGAACGTGATGAGGTGGCCATCTTCTGTGAAGATGCGGCGGATCCTCATCATGGAAGGAAGGAAGGAAGCAATGAAGAAAGCAATGAAGGAAGGAAGGAAGGAAGGAAGGAAGGAAGGAAGCAAAGAAAGAATGAAGGAAAGAAGGAAGCAAGGAAGGAAGGAAGGAAGCAATGAAGGAAGGAAGGAAGGAAGGAAGGAAGCAATGAAGAAAGCAATGAAGGAAGGAAGCAATGAAGGAAGGAAGCAATGAAGGAAGGAAGGGAGGAAGCAATGAAGGAATGAAGAAAGCAATGAAGGAAGGAAGCAATGAAGGAAGGAAGGAAGGAAGGAAGGAAGGAAGGAAGGAATGAAGGTGCGGACTGTTATTCGCATCTTTATTGTCATATTCATGGCGTTTCGGCCGTTGTACGCTCCGGTCTTCTTCAGGATCTGTCTATATTTCTGAAATGAGGTATTGTAACTATTTACACTATTTACATTTTTCGGGCTGTTATTCACATTTTTATTGTCATATTCATGGCGTTTCGGCCGTTGTACGCTCCGGTCTTCTTCAGGATCTGTCTATATTTCTGAAATGAGGTATTGTAACTATTTACACTATTTACATTTTTCGGGCTGTTATTCACATTTTTATTGTCATATTCATGGCGTTTCGGCCGTTGTACGCTCCGGTCTTCTTCAGGATCTGTCTATATTTCTGAAATGAGGTATTGTAACTATTTACACTATTTACATTGTTCGGACTGTTATTCGCGTCTTTATTATCATATTCATGGCGTTTCGGCCGTTGTACGCTCCGGTCTTCTTCAGGATCTGTCTATATTTCTGAAATGAGGTATTGTAACTATTTACACTATTTACATTGTTCGGACTGTTATTTGCATTTTTATTTTCATATTCATGGCGTTTCGGCTGTTGTACGCTCCACCCTTCTTGAGATTGGACGCGTCGGATGCCAGAAATTTAAAATTGAACAGATTTAAATGAAATAGATCTATGTTTTAAAAAAGATAGATAGATAGATGAAGAAAGAGCCTCTAGACGGTAGATAGATAGATAGATAGATAGATAGATAGATAGATAGATAGATAGATAGATAGATAGATAGATAGATAGGTCTAAGATTATAATAGATAGATCGATGAAGAAGCCTTTAGAACAGCGTTGGAACTTCGAACTGAACAATTTATTTCGTCTACTCGGGTAGATTGTTCTAGTTCCACGTGCCATGCCTTTTTTGGATATCTCAGTTTCAGTTATTTCCCTTTAAAAACCTGCTCATAGCTCAATGGCTAAAAGAAAGCGTTGGTTGAAATAATCCAGTGACTTCATCCAAACAGTTGTGGCTTCAATACCTGTCAATACCTGACGACAGCAGAGGTGAACAAAAATTTGGAGAGTTGAGCTAGCTTCAAATATGATAGGGAACTCAAGTTCTGGTATACAAAACCCAAAAATATTGAATGCTTTCGGGCTACAATAAAAGGAAATCGTTGACTGGTCAGTGCTAAAATTAGAAATTCTGGGAATTACACGAACTGTCGAATCTCTCAACTGTCTATACTTCAGATCTCATACAGGGTTTTCCAAACAAAACGCCACTTCGCTCCAGTTCAGATTGTGGCCCCTTGTGACCTATTGCATTTCGCAAAACCAAAATCGTCGTTTAAAGGCAAAATTCTAAGTACGGCAAAATTGTAACAGATGATACACTCTGATTCCAGTCAGAAGGCAGAGAAATATAACGCTGGATTCTATGTGCCGTGTCCCTTCAGAACGTGGGCGATCATGGATTCCCACACCTTCCTGCTCTTTGTAGCTCCTAGCAATGTTTATCTTCTTATTATCCATTCTATTCTCTGTCCTGCCATCCATTTACACAAGCCCATTAAGTAGGTTACTCGATTTCTATACTTTCTCCCACTAGTCTTCGGCACATTACTTCGGTGGCGTAATGGATAACGGCTTGGATTGAAGAATAGGACAGCCGAGTTCGAATTCCAGTCGAATCCATTACATTCACTTACGTGCTAATACCCTTGGGAAAGGTGTGAATCCTCTTCTTCTCCCTCCAACTATGGGTAAATAGCAGGACAGACTGGGTTCTATAGCCTTGGATGGCAACTGGTCTAGGAGAAGGAAAAACTCTGAATTCAAAACCTGCAGAGTGTCGTTTGGGGGACCTTGTGCACTAGGTCGCTGTAATCGGCCCTTCAAAAAGTGTGGATGGTTCTGTACGAAACCTTCACCACTATAATCAAATCTTGGGTTGGAGAGAGAACTTTTCTTCAGTGTGTTCTGTGAGTGTCAAGTTCTCTAAAGATTCTTGTCTCATTACGTGTCAGAAATTTTTTCAACGGTGTCTTTCTAATTCTAAGAAAAATTGTATTATTTGCTTCTATTCTCCTTAAAACCTTTTCATTGCTTGCATCGTACACAGTATTTTGTAGTGCCC